ATTTTGCATTCATTGGGATTGAGTTGAGTTGAGTTGATTCAATAACCAACATCACAGCACTTGGGGCATTCCCATAAGCGCTCTATCCCCATCTTCAACAACCAGTGAAGAGTTCCGATACTAATGGTGCCAGTAGCATTCTGATTAAACATCCGTCTTGCCTTTCCTATGAGCCTCCAGCATCTGCCAGAACCTCTTGTCACTCCCCGCTGCATCAATCTCACCAGACTGTGGTGATCTATCTGCTCCTCTAAACTGTAAACGCTCTCCCACAAGGCACTAACCAAATCTGCCTTATCATGCATCAGGATTCCACCAAGTTGTGCAGAGCCAGCAAGTCTGTCCACCTGTTCATTTCCCAACACACCAGCGTTTCCCGGAGGTAAAAATCCTGACAATATTCCTCACCCGTGTCCTCCGCAGTGAAGCATGCCACTCTGCACGAAGCACGCTTTCTGAGTCAGTTACAGTCACGATGTGTGTGTGTGTGTGTGTGTGTGTGTGTGTTGTGTTTGCTAACCAGAAATTGGGCTTCTAAGTAGGAACTTATGAATGTATGATGCGTTCCTTAAGACTGAAAGAGTTAACCCAATTTCTTGCCAGAAATATTTAATTTTAGGCCCAGGCTGCTTTTGGAACATCTACAGTTGGCAAATATAAATATGAACTGAGAATTGAAATCAGACATTTGTGATAAGCCAGTTCAATACTGATGTGTTTCTGTGAGCTCAGTACAGCTCAGTTATTTTTTTTTTTTTTTATTTACCGAAAATGAACATGGCTAATTTCATTTTATGTTATGTTGACAGGTGGTGACCATGAAAAAGAAGAAGAGTTTGAATTCCCCTTTCTTTTTCATTGTCAGAGTCTGTGGCTTAGACGTTGTGAACGTGCTTCGTAATGCACAACTACCCTTTTTTTAAAAATTATATCAATTCATTTTAAAATATAACATAACATGAAATTAGCCATATGTTTATTTTCAATATATCTGATACATTACATAAACTTACCTTGATACCATGTTTTGGACTGTACTGACAAATAAAATTCAAGTCTTGGTCTAGGGGCTTGGAGTCCATTGATTTAGTTAACTGGTTCTGCAAAAATAAAATAAGACAATAAAACAAATTGTGGAATATGTTTGTCAGATCCTTGTGTTCTCATAGACTGCAAAACAAAATATAAATACATAAGTGGTACAATGAATTTAAGATGGCTTTAGAAACAAGACATAGCACAGGAATTAGAGCTGCAAACAGTGACTCCTATTATCACTGACCTTCTGATATTGTTAGGTAGTGGACTGAATATCTAGTTTTCTCAGACAAAGATGAAAAAATTTGACAACTCGTGTGAAAATGAAAAACATCCCAGCAGAACAAAATAAACAGGCTGCTGCCCAGATGAAATTGCAAAATTAGAAAAATCCACTTAAAATAAGGAATTATTGTGTTAAATTTTTGTAAATGTAGAAATCCTTATTGTGATATGTTGAAAGCGACTAGAGCACTTATTAAGAAATCTGTGTTAATTTAAAGTGAATGATTACAAACATGCATAATTCATGATATGATTAATGATTCGTGAGACTTTTTACAGCAGAACATCTGGGAGGAAGGTGAGGGGAAGTCCAAGAAAGAGATGGGTAAATTGTGTTGCTGAAACCTGCAAAAAGATGAACAAATCCGTCACCCAAGCCACCCACAAAGTGCAAGACAACCATGACAATGGTCTACAATCTGCTATCGGTGAGACCAGAAAAAAAAGTGATCAGTTAGGATAATCATCATAGCACCCAGGACAAATTCTAAGGTGCTCCAATATCCTCCTCAAAAGCTCCACAAGCATAAAATGACTGATGATGCCTATTCTATGTTGATTTATCAAATGTCTTGTCTCCTTGTGAAATGTCCATTTCTTGCAGCTCCAGTTTGCTCTTCAATGTCCATCAGCCTATACACAGATACAGAGTCATGCCCTTTGCTGTAATCTGTATGTGCTGTGTGTGGCATTGATAACATCGCTTCTGTCCAGTACCAGACCAGCCATAGCAACCTCAATGTCTGCAAGATAATCTGTAAGCTCACTGCCTTGACCATCCGCATGACCTGCCACAAAGATAAAGATTAGGCCACCTATTCACAAAGTGCTTAGTGAAAACATCCATTCTTGTCAGATAAACCCAGCCTGGATTTTCTTAAGCAGATTCATTGATGCCTAAAGTGTGATTAACAGCTATAAACATAAATATTACATATATAGCTTACCCGGATATACTGTTCAATATTCTTCTCAGATTTAAGAAAATTCTTTTTAGCATTGGCTGTAGCAGCAACTGCATCACGAATGGTTGAACGTGGTCTCACCATCATAGAATGAAACAATTTAGTCTCCCCTTGTGTGGGTACACACAGCTTGGATAAATACACTCTGTCGGAGTACTTTGGCCTTGGATACCAAAGCCCAAGTCTTGCCCAATCAGATTTTGATACTTTGCTTGACTAAAAAAAAAACACACAAAAAAACCATAAGAATAATTTTGAAAACCAGATGTAGCATATAAGCAAGTCATGTTTTATGGCTCTGAAACTTGGAGCACAACTAAAAGAGACGAAGCCTTATTAAAGGTTTTCGAAAATAGAGTCTTACAATGAATCTTTGAACCCATCAAAGATGCAAACAGCGGTGAATGGAGAGTGAGAAGCAACAACGAAATTCATAATCTGTTTTAATCACCACTGATCACTGGCATCATGAGAGCTAATAGACTGAAATAGTTGGGGCATACTGAAAGAATGTCAGATGACAGAGAAGTAAAAACTGTATACACTAGGGAGATGAAAGGTTGTAGACCACGAGGGAGACCAAGAAGACCATGGACAGATAATGTCCAGACAGACCTGCAAACACTTGGTGTTACCAACTGGAAAGAGAGGGCCAACCAGAGAGATGAATGGAGGCGGGTGATATCTGCAGCAAGGGCTCGGAATGCTGAGGAAGAAAAAGAAGATGTAGCATGGTCATTTTGGTCATAATGAGGTTTTACAAAGGTGGGTGGTCGGCTCTACGCTTCAACCAGGCAGACCAGGGTGTCTCTCTTTCACTGGTCTCTACCCTTTGACCTGACCTGTCCGGCTTGTGAGGCACTTAATGGATCATAGGCTCAACATCCCACCATCTGTCATTATTTCCCCACACAATTATCAGTACCTATTTAAGACAGGGTCAACCTGGCAATATGGGTAAAGTTTATGACAATCCCTGCCCCACAAGACCACAAGGCAAGCAGGCTAACGACTGTACTACCATGGCTTCTCAAAATTTATAAAGTAAAAAAAAAAAAATGTGAAAAGCAAACATGAAGTCAGCTTTTCTTTAAGTATGTAGAATTGTTTTAGAAATTGTGAATCACATGCACTTTCTATTTTCATGTTATATAGGGCAGCCTGACATGGCATGTCCTGCTGTCATAAGTTTTTTGTAGCATTTACTGGCTGTAAAGCTCCAGTTGACAGTTCTGGTTGTTCATTAACTTCTGTCTTATTTGTATATGGAGTGCTGGTTCCTCGCCCCTCTGGTAGATGCACATTGACTTAGGAAATAACACTCCCAAGTAGTTGACTTTATGGGGCAACCCCCCCCCCCCCCCCCCCCCCCCCCAATGTGGCCCCAGAACCCACACGAGGATCTACCATTGTGACATGCTATAATATGTCATTCCATTAGCTTTTTCTGCCCCCAAAACACCAAGAAACACATGAACCAATCTGACATGTGGACTGTGGCATGTTATAGAAAGCTGGCCAGTTATTTTAACTCTGGTTGTTGTGCAATTTGACAAGTCGCACAAAATTACCATAAAATCCAAAGTATTTAGACTACTTGTCTCAAATAAAGACTAGTTGATGCATAACTGAATAGAGAAGGCATGAGAATTTTTTTTTAAAATTGATAGCAGTGTTTTGATCAAGTATAAAAGTAAGGTAAGCACAACATTTCATGTGTAAATAAATCTTCATGTGTGCCTAACATCCTTGAATGCTGTTTCATTGTAATATTTTATTGTTGTAATACTGATCCTCAAATAGCTTAGATGTATTCTTTATTAATTTCTCTTTAATTTGATATATTATATATCACTATACAGCCAATGTTTTACTCAGGAAGGTTTTAGCTTTGTCATGTTGCAGTGCTTCTTTCGTTCGCTTGAAATAAATTATCTCTATCTGCAATGTTGTCTCAAGTAAGAATTCACTGTCTTTTGTAATTCACTCAGCAACCCATAAAGTTTGACTTGCACCGATGTTTCTCTTGGCCAAAAGTTTTGCCTTGATATGTTGTATTTGGGACAGTCTTGGAGGACATGATCTGTTGTCTCAGGTGCCAATCCGCACATGCACATGGCTGATTCGCCAATATATGGTGCAGTAAAATCATTCAGCAGAAAATGAATGCTGTCCAAACCCCCCAAAAAAATGTCTTGAAAGAGTTAAAAGAACTAATTATTTTATTACCAGCCTTTTTCCTTAAGTACTTTTCAATTTATCAGTGAAGAAAATGGAAAAATATGACAAAATAATTAAACCTTTCAAACTAGAAAACAGTTGTATTGAGTCAAGAATTGACATCACAGCACTCGGGGCATTCCCATGCATACTCCGTCCTCATCTTCAGCAGCCAGAGTTCCAATACTGATGGTACCGGTCACAATCCGGTTATTTGTCTGTTTTACCTTTTCTTTGAGTGTAGTGAGCCAGCCAGACCCTCTGGTTACACCCAGATGCCTCATTTTCTCCAGGCTATAATAATCTTCTATCTCTGCTAATTCCGTTGCTTATTGCCAAAGGGCTTTGAAACTAGAAAACAGAGACCTGATAAGTCACAAAATGCCCCATTCTCACTTCCTCTGCACAAACATAAATAATGTGACAAATTAAATAAATGTTTGTGTAGTTGATGGCTTAGCCAACATGTACATATTTTTTTTTTTTAATTACCTCAAGTGGTTTTCCTTTGGGTCCCTTGGGCACTTTAGTCAGTCTAACAAGAAGCGAGGCACAAGGAACGTAGCGCACATTGGTGTCTCTTAAACACTTTTCTGTAAATGGGTCTACCCCATTAGGACCTTGACTGTATATTCGAAGCTGGTGTGCTCCCTCATTTAGAGACACCTAAATCATATACATATGTTTCATTATATAATGTTACTCCCTCATTTAGAGACACCTAAATCATATGTTTCATTATATTATGTTACTCCCTCATTTAGAGACACCTAAATCATATACATATGTTTCATTATATTATGTTACTCCCTCATTTAGAGACACCTAAATCATATACATATGTTTCATTATATTATGTTACTCCCTCATTTAGAGACACCTAAATCATATACATATGTTTCATTATATTATGTTACTCCCTCATTTAGAGACATATGTTTCATTATATAATGTTACCTCATTTAGAGACACCTAAATCATATACATATGTTTCATTATATATATGTTATGTTACCCCTCATTTAGAGACACCTAAATCATATACATATGTTTCATTATATAATGTTACTCCCTCATTTAGAGACACCTAAATTTCATATGTTTTCATTATATAATGTTACTCCCTCATTTAGAGACACCTAAATCATATACATATGTTTCATTATATAATGTTACTCCCTCATTTAGAGACACCTAATCATATACATATGTTTCATTATATAATGTTACTCCCTCATTTAGAGACACCTAAATCATATTCATGTTTCATTATATAATGTTACTCCCTCATTTAGAGACACCTAAATCATATCACATATGTTTCATTATATATATGTTACTCCCTCATTTAGAGACACCTAAATCATAATGTTACATTATATAATCACCTATCATATACATATGTTTCATTATATATGTTACTCCCTCATTTAGAGACACCTAAATCATATATGTTGTTTCATTATATAATGTTACTCCCTCATTTAGAGACACCTAAATCATATTCATATGTTTCATTATATAATGTTACTCCCTCATTTAGAGACACCTAAATCATATACATATGTTTCATTATATAATGTTACTCCCTCATTTAGAGACACCTAAATCATATTCATATGTTTCATTATATAATGTTACTCCCTCATTTAGAGACACCTAAATCATATACATATGTTTCATTATATAATGTTACTCCCTCATTTAGAGACACCTAAATCATATACATATGTTTCATTATATAATGTTACTCCCTCATTTAGAGACACCTAAATCATATACATATGTTTCATTATATATGTTACTCCCTCATTTTTCATATGTTTCATTATATAATGTTACTCCCTCATTTAGAGACACCTAAATCATATACATATGTTTCATTATATAATGTTACTCCCTCATTTAGAGACACCTAAATAAATCATATACATATGTTTCATTATATAATGTTACTCCCTCATTTAGAGACACCTAAATCATATACATATGTTTCATTATATAATGTTACTCCCTCATTTAGAGACACCTAAATCATATTCATATATGTTTCATTATATAATAATTTACTCCCTCATTTAGAGACACCTAAATCATATTCATATGTTTCATTATATAATGTTACTCCCTCATTTAGAGACACCTAAATCATATTACATATGTACTTCATTATATAATGTTACTCCCTCATTTAGAGACACCTAAATCATATCATCATATGTTTCATTATATAATGTTACTCCCTCATTTAGAGACACCTAAATCATATACATATGTTTCATTATATAATGTTACATATGTTTCATAAATCATATACATATGTTTCATTATATAATGTTACTCCCTCATTTAGAGACACCTAAATCATATTCATATGTTTCATTATATAATGTTACTCCCTCATTTAGAGACACCTAAATCATATTCATATGTTTCATTATATAATGTTACTCCCTCATTTAGAGACACCTAAATTATATTAACATGTTTCATTATATAATGTTACGCTAAAGTGAGTTACATTTTACTGTTTTACTAAAACTAAGGCTCAGAACATCGACCTAGACAGGCACACATTTTTGAGTATGTTTTCCCCAGCAATTAATTTCTTCTTCTTCTTCTTAGCATTTACCGGCTGTGAACTCTGTCCGAAAATTCTGGTCACTCATCCACGTCTGGACTTTAGTCTTGTTTAGAACCTGAGTTTTGCAGGCGCATCCATTTATATGTATGCATACTGTTGGTTTCTCACCTCTCAGGCAGCTTGAGAATCAGCTGTACACACATGCAGTGATTGTAACTGACCTACAGAGCATGCTTCGTGCAGAGTGGCAAGCATCACTTCTGAGGTCCTGGGTGGTTAACATCCTTTGGATATTTTCTCCAGGTATGCTGGTGTGTTGGGAAATGAGCAGCAGATAGACTGGCTGGCTCTGCACCACTTGGGGTGAATTGATGTATGACAAGATAGATAATGTGAGGGTCCTTTGGGAACGAGTAAACAGTGCAGAGCTGCAGATAGATCATTACGGTCTAAGGAGAATGGCGCTGCGAGGAGTTACCAGGGGATCTGGCTGACGCTCAACACTCAGGGTAAGGATGAGACAATCATACGGTCATTGGTACCATTGGAATTGGAACTCTTTGCTTGCTGCTGAAGATGGGGATGTCCCAAGTGCTGTGATGTTGATTCTCAATTCAACATTCACTCTCAGGCAGATGCACTTCAACTTCGAAGGAAACATCCCTAATTAGCCAACTTTTATGAACTGCTTGTTAAGGAACAGTGGGTCTACCCCCCCCCCCCCCTACAATGGGGCCCCAGAACCTGCAAGGGGAAAACAAGTATTTTTTTCAGTTTGCTTTCCCCAGCCTTTCATTTCCTCTTCTTAGCCCTCAATGGCACTGGCAAAAGTTCTAGCTGTTAATCGACTTATGGACTTTGGTCTTCTTTCTCGAGTTGAAGGTTGCATGCACATTCATTTCACGAATCTGGCCTACTTGTATGCAGACTGTTGGTTCCTCATTTCTCAGGCAGATGCACTTCGACTTCAAAGCTAACGACCCTATTAGTTGCCTAATAGGAAAGCAGTTGGTCTATTTTTCCCAATGGGGCCCTGGAATCCACACGAGGAAGCTACTGACTTTAGTCTACCTATAGGCAAATGGGTTTGTGTATAATTTAATCTGGTTTTCATCCCATCACCTGTCAAACAAAGCAGCCTCATACAAATGAGTTCCAGACCATTCTCAGGATTTTCAGGGAATGAAAATGCAAAGAGTATGACAATCACATTATCTTATATGCATGGAGATTGCACAGTGAAAAGCAAACTATCGCTGTACCAAGAAATCAACATCAGGATAGGTAAGGTAGCTACAACCGCGAGCAGATTAAAAAAATGTTGTTTAAAAAGAGAGAGAATCTGGGGGAACAGAAAAACTCTTGTCTATCAGCCTGTATTCTCAGCATTCCTCCTTATGGCAGTTAAACTTGGTCAACATATTTGTGCCAGGAAAATGGCTAAATAGCTTTCACAAGCAATGCCTAAGAAGAATACCTGGCATCAAGTGGCAAGAAAAGGTCACAAACACTGAGGTATTGGAGACAGCAGATTTAACACTAGTTTCCTCAACGATCAGACTCCGAAGGCTCTGGTGACTGGGTCACACCTGGAGAATAGAGTTTGGTGGAGTCCCTAAGGAAATTCTCTCTTTTGTGAATTACAGCTTTGTAGAATACGATATAAAGATGTGTGCGAGCAGGACATGAATGATACAGGTATTGAAGTATACTCATGGAAACAAAATGCTATGGTCAATGCTGCATGGAGAGGGCAAATCAGGAAGGAAATGAGAATGACGGAAGAAAATGAGAATGACGGAAGAAACAATTGCAGAAAGGATAAGAGCTGAGCGTCTGAGAAGTTGCAGAAAGGATGAGAGCTGAGCGTCTGAGAAGAAACAGACTAAATACAAATTATGGCAACAACGGTCATGAAATCCCATGCTCTAATTGAGGAAGGCTGTTCTTAAGATGGGCTTGCCTTGCTAGTCACATTCACCATCGTCACGGGCTGTGAGTTCCATGCCTCCTCTCAGCACAATATAACACTATCATCTGGGATGATGGAGAGGTGCCAACAATTTGCAATGGAAATGTGTGAAGGTCTGCCTTTCTAGCCCCCAATGGAGCATAGGCCCTCAACCAATTCATGCTAAATTGTTCTATCCTTCGCTATCGCATGGAGCTCTCCCTATCTTTCTAACTTCATTCTCCATGTGTTTTTTGGCCTCCCTTTATCCCTATGCCCCTGTGGGTTCCAATGCTAAGACATTCTAGTTATGCTGTTCTTCGGTTTTCCAATGTGTGTCCTATCCAACACCAGCGTTTTTTTCTCACCTCTTGGTCCACTGGAGCTTATTATAAAATAGCTTGCGATTATTTAAAATGTGGGAACCTAAAGATGAGTTTACCTGCAAACCAGCCTTATCAGCAAGAGGTTGTCTTTCTGTCCCTGATTCCACAAAGACATTCAGACAAGCATATCCAACAACTGTCAGTTTTCTGTAAAAGTTGTCTATTGTATATACCTGAAAAAAGATCATTATGAAAACCATTTGTCTCCACAAATAATTTAAAAAAAAAAAAAAAAAACTAAACCCCCCCCCCTCCACCCCCTTTCCTTCTAGGAATGCCTTCTTAAAGATTAATACCCATGACTCTAAGATCCACTATTCAGATGAGAATCCAACATGAGCAAATACTGGAAACCCTATTCAACAGTATAATAGTTATATTGAGGCACCTGGACATTATAAACTAACATGTAGTTCCATTTGGTTGGGACCAGCCAGCAGTTACCATACATTAATTAACTTGTAAACTGGCCTTATAAAATTTATTAACTGTACTGTGTCCACGTCAGCTCTGTGGCTAAGTCGATGAGAACGCTTCGTAATGCCGGGTTCGATCCCAGCTGCGGGCCATGAGCCTTGCGTTGGTTTCGACAGTGGTATCAAGAAAGCTGACCGTCTAGAAAGCAATGGCAAACTACTGGATGTAAATTTGCCTATAAAAACCACACAACAGCCAGGGGCTGTTAGGGTTGGTTCTGCAACATCCTGTAAAGGATACACACTAACTAACTAACTGTGTCCACACATGGGTAATGGGTAGCCATTTAAAATAGAAAGACAAGGTGCCTCCTTTCCTCATTCAACTTGTTGGATACCCTTAGGCAAGGTGGAGTTGTGCTGAGCTGAGTCAAGAATTGACATCACAGCACTTAAGGCACTCCCATATGCACTCTGTTCCCATCTTCAGCAGCCAGCACAGAGTTCCAGTACTAATGGTGCCTGTCATTAAAAAAAAACATTAAAGGACCCTTTTCCATGCCTTTAGGCGTATAGGGCATACAGGGCTAGACCTATATTTTATAGACCAATCGGCACAAGATGGGTGATATGGTCAGCCTTATGCCGGCCACCTTTACTTCACAGGACTGCACCCGGTACCCACTTAAGGCTGGGTTGACCTGGGGGCTGAGGTCATTTTTTTAAAAGTTCGGCTCCGCCAGGGAGCCAATCCACGACCTTCCTGGTGCCAGTTATAGTCTGGTTATATGTCTGTCTTGCCTTTCCTCTGAGCGCAGTGAGTCGACCAGAGCCTCTGGTAACACCCATGTGCATCATTCTCTCTAGGCCATAATAATCTTGTTTCTCTTCTGACTTTGTTACTTGTTCCCAAAAGGTATTGACCACATCTGCCTTGTCATGTATCAATTTACCACCCAGTGGTGCAGATCCAGCCAATCTGTCTGCCTGTTCATTACCCACCAAGTTGGCGTAGCCTGAAGAAAAGATCCAAAGTATGCTCACGACCCGTGACCTTCCCAGTGTAGCTTGCCACTCTGCTCGAAGCATCCCTGTCTTCACTTTTCTCAGCATGCTTTCAGAGTCTGTTACAATTACGATATGTATATGCATCTTGTTCTTCAGCCACCGCAAAGCTTCAGTGACCGCCTCCACCTCCATTCTTATGCTAGATGTTGTGGTATTATATGCCAGGCTGTCCTGCACTAAAGATTTTTCATTGGCTTTTGCTAGCAACCCTCAGGCACTTCTCATCCCTCTCAACACAGAGCCATCTGTATAGATAATTAAATTAAAGTGGAGTACCAGTTTATTTCTCTCCCATCCCCTCCTCAAACAGTATGATTTTAAACCACATTGAGAAAGTGGTGGATTAAACTTGAGAGCAACAGACAGATAGTTATTTGGTCATGGTGATTAGTTCACAATGGTAGACAGGGAGTCTCTTCATAATGACTATGATTATGGTCACTGTTCATTATGACCACTGTCAAGAATTAAAGTGACACTAAATTGTATTCTTTAGAAATTTAAAATCTCTTAAGATTCAACATTTTTGGGCCTGTTATAAGAAGAAGAAATATACTTAAAAACCTGGTGGCAACTGGACAAAATAGCAAAAGAGCAAAGGAAAGACAACAAGATCGACCGGTTTTGTCGCCTCCTGGCTGCTATCTAAAGGTTTACCATACCATCCTGAGATTAAGTCTATATGGCTGACCCCAGATACTCCATTCAATCTTCAAAAAAGTTATAATTAGAACACCTGTAACAGCTACTCCAGCAAAGTGTAACAGGCAGTCCTATAAATTGCCAATTTCTGCCGTTACATACCACTTCCTCGGTGTAGGCAGGGGGTCTTTTGAGCCTGAGGATTTAAGGCTGCATGGCTAGTCCTGTCGCCACGACAGTGCAGGTGAGGATTTTTTTTGGCCCCCAACAGAAAAAATCCCCAGCCTTGCTGAGGATTCGAATCAGGGTCTCCTGCATGAGAGCCCAGTGTTCTAATGGTTCGGTTCAGCCGCTCCTCGGCAGTCCTATGCAGGTAGATAAATATCTTTCCTAGCATCACCATGACAAGAAGACAGAGTAATGATGAACTGAAACTGCCAATGACTGCTTATCATGACGTCGATGATGTCCATACAATAATAAAGTTTGTGATCAATGACCGCTTGTCCTTTCTTATAGAATTGTACTACTGTATCCTAACAAGCACACTGTAAGAGGAAACTAAAGTAGGGTGGTGTGAAACCAGCTACCTCTTCCCTCAGAATAATTTTAAAGTATGCTAAATCTGACAAGCCAAGTATAGAAGGATCTTGAGACGAGTTGGTTGAGAGCTTATGAAGAAGGAAGGAAGAGGAAGAAGAGAGGGAAAGAAAAAAATTAAAAGTAAGGAAGAAGAAAAAATGACAAGTAAAAAACATTTCTTAATTCCTTTCTCCCGTGTGGGGTTCATGGCCCCATTGTGGGTGTGTTTTTTTTTTTGGGGGGGGGGGGGGGGGGGGGGGGGGGGGGGGGGGGGGGGGGGGGAGACAAGAAACAGAGCGCTAAGAAGAAGAAACTTACAATAATGACAAAAACTCAAAAAGATTTAAGGGGTCACAAACAAGGATCTCTTTATAAAGACATATATTTTGTGTATAAAGGCAAACAAACTAAACTTAAAACATCTAATTAAAATAAGGACAAATATCCTGCAATCTGCTCCTAAGTATAATAATTATCAGAACAAATAGTGGGAGAAGTCCAATAAAGATTTCTAAAATATCATCACTGATAGAGACAACGGAACAAATTAGTACTTTTGAGTTGGAACAACAACAGCAAAACAACAAAAAAGAGATCTAATTATTGTATCTTCACCTTTTACTCACTACATATCAGTCAGATTTATCAAGATGTTTCAGTAGTTGTCTTACCTTGAACAGCAATGTGGCAGATGGTGGAACCTGAGCTTCTCTAAATTCAGATTTGTATTCATAAACCGGATTGTAAATCTCACTGTCTATTTTAACACTTGTTGAAATATCCTTGCCATATACTTCATATTTACGATCCAATATTCTGGCAGCAACCTGTAATTGAAATTAATACAAATTAGTTTCTTGTCATGTAAACAAATCACCATCATAGATGTGTTTTTTTGACAACTGCCTGCTGAGGAGCTGACAATGGTGATCATGACATCTAAATAAAATTTGGTGCAATGTAGTCAACCTTTTAACTCTTTGAGTCCCATGGGGTTTAGCATCCCAGGCCCAGTGGGTAATGAAGAGAGTCATAAAATTTCGCATCGTGCGTTCATTGGGCTTCTAGGTAGGAACATGTGAACGTATGATGCGTTCCTTGGGACTCAAAGAGTTAACTTCTAATTGTTCCCTGTGTGGGTTCATTCCGGGTTCCACTGGGGTGAGGGGTGGGGGAGAGGGGTGGGTAATCACTTTCTCCATAGAAAGCCTTTCATACGAGATGGCTAATTAAGGCAGTTTCCTACAAAGTCGGAGTGCATCTGCCTGAGAGATGAGCAACCAACAGTCTGCATAGAGAAAAGCCAGATCTGTGAGTGAAATGGATGTGCTGGCAAAAAACTTAGGTTCTAGAAACTGACTAACAACCAGAACTTTTTATCAGAGTTTACAGTTAGTGGACGCTAAGAAAAAACTTTTAATCAAAATTCCAAATTTAAAATTCTACCTACCAAAAATATTTATATTATATGCACTTCGCTTGCCGTTGATGACCGATCCATCCATTTAAACCACAGCTTTATTGACAATTATGTTCTCATCAAAGTTTAAAGTCGAGAGGATCAATTTCGCTGCATCATGTTATCCTGTCTCAGTCTCTCTCTGCAGCACGGGTAGCTTCTTCCCAAGAGTGTTGCACAAAGCACAAACTCATAGCACTAGCGACAATCCTCAGGATCTCCCAAAAAAATTTTCACTTGTGAAATGAATGAAGAAGTCCGTGAAATAAACCATTTGATGGAATGCAAAGCCTTTCAACTTAACAATGGAAACTTCACACAATATAACTGAATAGTGAATGGTTAGTTCTGAATTTTGTATCTTATCAAAACAAACATGAAAGCAAACAACAGAGAGAAAATTAAAGTAAACATTTAAAAAAAAATTTTTTTTTTTAACTGATATTTAACAAAAAAAACCAAATTAAAATTAAAAATAAACAAAATATTTCTGTAATGTTCTGTTTCAAAATCAAGGCACAGGGGCAAAAAGGAAATCCCCAAAATGTGATTATGCAAAATAATGCTAAAGTTATGACAATTTATACCACAAATAAATACTGGGGATGAATTTAAAGAAAAAGAAAAAGCAGAATATAAATAATTTCATGGCATCTCAAAAAAAAAAAAAAAATGTAATAAACATAATCAACACAGATACAGATTATTCTTCTCAGGGTTCACCAGCAGTACACTCCAGCAGAAAATCAAGAGTTTTTCGTCCACTTCTTGACTTTGGTTTTGTTTCAGGCCTTGAATGTTGCATGCACCTCCATTTTACAGACATGGCTTATCTGTGAGCAGACTGCTAGCTCCTTAGACTCTAGAGGAAAGTTTCATCCTACCAAGGTTGGCCAGGCTCCAAGTTTGGAACCTGTTTCTAGGATGACCGCAAACAGGTGTAGACAGATCTCGTCTAGTATGTGCCCTGGTCCTGGTGAGAGGTGTAGACAGATCTTGTCTAGTACCTGCCCTGGTCCTGGTGAGAGGTGTAGACAGATCTTGTCTAGTATGTGCCCTGGTCCTGGTGAGAGGTGTAGACAGATCTTGTCTAGTATGTGCCCTGGTCCTGGTGAGAGGTGTAGACAGATCTCGTCTAGTACCTGCCCTGGTCCTGGTGAGAGGTGTAGACAGATCTCGTCTAGTACCTGCCCTGGTCCTGGTGAGAGGTGTAGACAGATCTCGTCTAGTATGTGCCCTGGTCCTGGTGAGAGGTGTAGACAGATCTCGTCTAGTATGTACCCTGGTCCTGGTGAGAGGTGTAGACAGATCTCGTCTAATATGTACCCTGGTCCTGGTGAGAAGTGTAGACAGATCTTGTCTAGTATGTGCACTGGTCCTGGTGAGAGGTGTAGACAGATCTTGTCTAGTACGTGCCCTGGTCCTGGTGAGAGGTGTAGACAGATCTTGTCTAGTATGTGCCCTGGTCCTGGTGAGAGGTGCAGACAGATCTTGTCTAGTACGTGCCCTGGTCCTGGTGAGAGGTGTAGACAGATCTTGTCTAGTATGTGGCCTGGTCCTGGTGAGAGGTGTAGACAGATCTTGTCTAGTACTTGCCCTGGTCCTGGTGAGAGGTGTAGACAGATCTTGTGTATGTGCCCCGGTCCTGGTGAGAGGTGCAGACAGATCTTGTCTAGTACATGTCCTGGTCCTGGTGAGAGGTGTAGACAGATCTTGTCTAGTACGTGCCCTGGTCCTGGTGAGAGGTGTAGACAGATCTCATCTAGTACATGCCCTGGTCCTGGTGAGAGGTGTAGACAGATCTTGTCTAGTACGTGCCCTGGTCCTGGTGAGAGGTGTAGACAGATCTCATCTAGTACATGCCCTGGTCCTGGTGAGAGGTGTAGACAGATCTTGTCTAGTATGTGCCCTGGTCCTGTTGAGAGGTGTAGACAGATCTTGTCTAGTACATGCCCTGGTCCTGGTGAGAGGTGTAGACAGATCTTGTCTAGTACATGCCCTGGTCCTGGTGAGAGGTGTAAACAGATCTTGTCTAGTACGTGCCCTGGTCCTTGTGAGAGGTGTAGACAGATCTCATCTAGTACATGTCCTGGTCCTGGTGAGAGGTGTAGACAGATCTCATCTAGTACATGTCCTGGTCCTGGTGAGAGGTGTAGACAGATCTCATCTAGTACATGCCCTGGTCCTGGTGAGAGGTGTAGACAGATCTTGTCTAGTACATGCCCTGGTCCTGGTGAGAGGTGTAGACAGATCTTGTCTAGTATGTGCCCTGGTCCTGTTGAGAGGTGTAGACAGATCTTGTCTAGTACATGCCCTGGTCCTGGTGAGAGGTGTAGACAGATCTTGTCTAGTACATGCCCTGGTCCTGGTGAGAGGTGTAGACAGATCTTGTCTAGTACGTGCCCTGGTCCTTGTGAGAGGTGTAGACAGATCTCATCTAGTACATGCCCTGGTCCTGGTGAGAGGTGTAGACAGATCTCATCTAGTACATGTCCTGGTCCTGGTGAGAGGTGTAGACAGATCTTGTCTAGTATGTGCCCTGGTCCTGGTGAGAGGTGTAGACAGATCTCATCTAGTACGTGCCCTGGTCCTGGTGAGAGGTATAGACAGATCTCATCTAGTACATGCCATGGTCCTGGTGAGAGGTGTAGACAGATCTTGTCTAGAACATGTCCTGGTCCTGGTGAGAGGTGTAGACAGATCTCATCTAGTACGTGCCCTGGTCCTGGTGAGAGGTATAGACAGATCTCATCTAGTACATGCCATGGTCCTGGTGAGAGGTGTAGACAGATCTTGTCTAGAACATGTCCTGGTCCTGGTGAGAGGTGTAGACAGATCTTGTCTAGCATGTGCCCTGGTGAGAGGTGTAGACAGATCTTGTCCAGTATGTGCCCTGGTGAGAGGTGTAGACAGATCTTGTCTAGTATGTGCCCTGGTGAGAGGTGCAGACAGATCTTGTCTAGTATGTGCCCTGGTGAGAGTTGTAGCAGATCATGTCTAGTATGTGCCCTGGTCCTGGTGAGAGGTGCAGACAGATCTTGTCTAGTATGTGCCCTGGTCCTGGTGAGAGGTGTAGACAGATCTTGTCTAGTATGTGCCCTGGTCCTGGTGCACCTACATGCACAGTTCAGCACCATAGTATCCAAGAAATGTATAATTAATTACAATTTTCTAAATAGAGTAGATAACTACTATACAGTATTTTCTTCAGCTGTTGCACAATTACAAACATTTTATTTTGATATGCGCAATAAAGGTTAGGACTGGTTGGCATGCATTAGCTGGTCTATGATAAAAAAAAAAAAAGGGAATAAAAGTCAGAAGAAGAGAAGATTTGAGAATCACAATCGTCAATGTCTGCTCTGAAGACGAAAAAGTATCTCATAATAAATTGAAACAACACTAACTCTGGAGTAGGTTACGGAATCCGGCAAGAAACGGCAGCCATCTATGTAAATGTCAAATCCATCACCTGCTGTAAATGGTTCAACTGGTGGAGATTTTCGTTCAAAGGGAAGCCATGCAAACTGCAAAATAAGAAAGGATAAACACTAAAGCCATAACAAATATATACTGCAATCAAAATAAAATATCAGAAGCAAAATTACCATAAGTCTCACTTCTTCTTCATGTCCTCTTTCACGGCTTTATGTGTCGAGGGAGATTTAAAGTTCTGCTTAATGCTCTTCTGGCTGCCTCATCCATAGACGCAAGTTGCTATTATAGAGTTTCTCTGATGTTATCTTTGCATATTGTTCTTGGTCAACCTCATGCTTGCTCTTCATCTTCTCCTGTTTTGATGAGTGCCTTGTATGGCATCACAAGCTATTCTCTAAGTGGGAAAACCATTTGATTTGGTCTCTTTGTATGTAATTTAGAATTGGTTCTGTGCCGACTTTTCTCTTGTGACCTTAATCCTGATTTTATATCAGCTGTCACATGCACACTTATCACACAGTTATCAGAACAATTTTTTGGCCAACACTATGCTATCAGTGTCAAATGTGGACACTTATATCCTCTAATGAATGTAAAATTGTGACAACAGAGATGAAATGCCTTAGAAGAGCTGCAGGAGTTTCAAGGAAAGACAGAATATGAAATCACAAAATCAGACGAAATCTTGGAATAAAGCCAGTCTTACAGATCATCAAAGAACAACAAATGAAGTGGTTTGGAAACCTAACAAGAATGCCCTGGTACTATCTACCACAGCGAGCTACATTGAAAAGTTACAATGGGTATAGAGCAAGCAGAAGACCTAGGAAAAGATGGAGTGATGGCATTAACAACAGCCTTACAGAAATGAAATTTAATCTTAATAGTGCTCTTGACAGGAATCATCAATGAATGTTACATCTCCAACCGACACTTTGCTGAGATACAAGGTGGAAGAGAAGAAGCAGTCAAACTTCTGATATAAAAAAGGTAAACTGAAGGACCCTTCTGAACTGTCTCATACTGGGCATATATTGCTAGACTCATAATTTTGTTGTTGTTGTTGATGTTATTGATCCAGCGGCGCATGAGCTTTTGCCCTTTGGCCCAATGCCATGTAGTGGAATTTGCATGTTTTCACAAGCTGTTCTTTTCCTCCGTACAAGGTGTTCCACTTGTCTGGTCTCGGAGGGAGTAGCATTCTTCTAGTCTCGCTGAGTTTTGGGCACTCAAAGAGATGGTGTTCAACAATTTCGTAGGGGTAGTTACATAGCTGGCACTCTGGGGAGTGTTGTGGCTGTATTCTGTTTAGATGTCCATTGAGTGGAGTATGTTGTGTTCTAAGTCTGAAAATAATTTTGTTTAAAACTATTTGGCACTTGATGGTTGTTATAGTGAACATCATGCCATACACTAACACAATATGTTATTTCTTCCAATCTATTGATGTTTTCTTTTGTTCACTTGGAGAGAGTGCCTTCTAATGCTATACCATTCAAGGCATATACCAAAAGAGGAGAGAGACGTAGAGCAAGAGGTAGACGAAGAACAAGATGGAAGGACAACATCAGAAAAACTCTACAGTACCACGATGTGTCTTTGGTCGAAGCAGCCAGAAAAGCACGAAGCAGGACCTTATATCTCCCTCAACACCCGAAGCGGTTAAAGAGAATGTAAAGAAGAAGTCCGAAATGATGTTTAATATCGATGGCACAGTCTAGGTCTGCCCCAAAAAATTATATTGTCCTGGTAAAAAACATGACTTATGGTCAACCTAATCAGATAAGATACTTTCAGAGTATAGCTAATTTAACTGCATCAGCATAGAATATATTTCTCAATTTCACTAAATGTAAAAAAAAAAAAACAATGAAAAAAAACAAACAGGAGCTTTCATCAATTAGAGCAAGCAGTGGAATATAATTTAAAAACTATTATGTTTTTATTATCACTTGGACCAAATTCATCCTCCTCATGAGCCATGTTAGTCATGGCTTACCTTACCATTTGATCACCAAAATCATGGATCAGTACATTTGCTTTTTACCTTGCCTTTGCTCTATTTCTATTTAGTTCACAAGCTGTTGCTATGTTTTTGAGTTTATTCTTTCTCATAACAGGTCCAACTATCTTGACTGTCTACATCTAATGTCTCTAATCAGTTTACAGTTTTAATCTATCTCTTGGAGTTCCACCTCATTTGTTTTTCTTGTCCACGATTTTCTTTGTATTTCACAGAAACCATATTCCTGCTGCCATAAGATACAATTTAGTTTGTCTGCTTATTGCCTATAATTCACATGCATACATCAGTAGAGGTTCTATAAAACTCTTCAACATCCAAAATTCCAACTTCGCTCAGCAACAACTAAAAAAACAAAAACAAACCAATAACAGGGAAATAATTAACAGCTGCCAGTCAACCAGCAACCAGTCAACCAAGTAACCAGTCAACCTGCTAACTAATGCTGCATGTAAGGCAAGCAAGATATAACAAGACAACAAGATATAAATGGTTCTACTATTTGCTCACACATCCTATATACTATTCCTTTCTCTATATTTCCTGTGTGAGTTAGGGGGCCCTATTATAGGGAAAACAAGAATAGACCCACTGCTTATCCAAAAGCATGTAGTAAGAGTCGACTAATTGCGAGCTTTCTTCAAAGTTGGAGTGCATCTGCCTGAGAGGCAAGGAACCAGCAGTCTGCATACAAATGAGTCAGATCTGTCAAACAGATGCACTTGCAACACTCAGGTTCTGTAACAGGACTGCAGTCTAGAAGTGGATGAACAACCAGAACTTTCCGCCAGAGTTTACAGCTGGTGAACGCGAAGAAGAAGAAGCAAAAGATTTCTCTATATGTTTAAAAAATGCAAAATCTTCAGTTTCTACCTCCGGTAAAACACTATCCTCCTCATCACTTAATTCGCTGGGTGTCAGTGAACCTGGACGAGGCTGACCATGGAAGATATGTATTCGCACGGTGGCATTTCCATAACGTTTATAGTTCCGCTGCCTATGGTGGTGGGTATCCAGCGGAATGTCTGTGGGTTCTGGGACAGGGGGTTGAAAGAGTTTGAGTGTGTGTGTGCCTGTGTTGATTCTCATGAAGCTAGGATTGAATTCTTTTCTGTCACGGGGTGAGAGGTCTGCAAATAAAAATCGGTCACAGTAATGATTTACATGAGACAGAAACGGAATAACTTCACAATACATAGATCATCATCATCATGTGTCCTGCCAACTGGCGAAGGCGCTCATGCGTCTCCACAGATCATGATCTCTGGTTGCCTGGAACACCTCTCTTGATGATATCCCTCCATGCCATCATTTCAGCCCATCCAGCATCATCTCTCTTGGTCTGCTCTACCCCTTTTCCACTGATCTTTCCAGTTGTCACTAAGTTCTCCAACGCTCTCTTCTCATTCTCTGGCCAAAGAACAGTGTTTGTCTCTTTCTTATTGTTGTATATAGAGATCTACTTTTATTAGCTTCTTTCATGCAATCATTGTTAGTTACTCTGGCTGTCCAAGGTATTCGTAACATTCATCTCAGAAACCACAAATACATAGATACGGGAATTAAATTGCATGCATACACTCGTACACTTACCCACACATATACAATCACCATCATGACCTGACATCTGTATGTTTATTCAAGTCTCTTTACTGATATCAACCATGGCTTTTGGAACAATTTTACTGATGATATGCCTCCATGCCACAGTCTCAGATTGTGTGGCAACATTTATCTGGATATGCCTCTACCAACATCTGTCTACTTTGTCATCATGATGTTCTCCAATGATTCTCTTCGCATCATGATGTTCTCCAATGATTCTCTTAGCATCATGATGTTCTCCAATGATTCTCTTCGCATCATGATGTTCTCCAATGATTCTCTCCGCATCATGATGTTCTCCAATGATTCTCTTAACATCATGATCTTCTCCAATGATTCTCTTCACATTATGATCTTCTCCAATGATTCTCTTCACATCATTATGTTCTCCAATGATTCTCTTCACATCATGATGTTCTCCAATGATTATCTTCACATTATGATGTTCTCAGATGATTCTCTTCACAACATGATGTTCTCCAATGATTCTCTTCACAATGTGATGTTCTCCAATGATTCTCTTCGCATCATGATGTTCTCAAATAATTCTCTTAGCATCATGATGTTCTCCAATGATTCTTTTCACATCATGATGTTCTGCAACGATTCTCTTCACCTTATAATCTTCTCCAATGATTCTCTTCACATCATGATGTTCTCCAATGATTCTCTTCACATCATGATGTTCCCCAATGATTCTTTTAGCATCATTATGTTCTCCAATGATTCTCTTCACATTATGATGTTCTCCAATGATTCTCTTCACATCATGATGTTCTCCAATGATTATCTTCACATTATGATGTTCTCAAATGATTCTCTTCACAACATGATGTTCTCCAATGATTCTCTTCACATTGTGATGTTCTCCAATGATTCTTTTAGCATCATGATGTTCTCCAATGATTCTCTTAGCATCATGATGTTCTCCAATGATTCTCTTAGCATCATGATGTTCTCCAATGATTCTCTTCACCTTATGATCTTCTCCAATGATTCTCTTCACATCATGATGTTCTCCAATGATTCTCTTCACATCATGATGTTCCCCAATGATTCTTTTAGCATCATGATGTTCTCTAATGATTCTCTTTGCATCATAATGTTCTCCAATGATTCTCTTCGTATCATGATGTTCTCCAATGATTATCTTGTCATCATGATGTTCTCCAATGATTCTCTTCACATCATGATGTTCTCTAATGATTCTCTTTGCATCATGATGTTCTCTAATGATTCTCTTTGCATCATAATGTTCTCCAATGATTCTCTTCACATCATGATGTTTTCCGATGATTCTCTTCACATCATGATAATAACAGCTTTTAATTGCTGCTTTGTCTAGTATATTCTAAGAGATCATAACAATTAGGTCTACAAAGCAATAAAGAAAATACAAATGATAATAAACCAGGCAAAAAATACTCAAATGATACCCCGCTCCAAGATGTGAAATTGCACACCTGTTTATCCAATAACGTGGATAAATATGGGAAGCTTACAGAGATATTAAAATATAAATACAAAAGGCTAAGAATACAAAAGGATAGGAAGACTTCATGCAGGAGGGTTGAAGGCCTATGCTCCATTCAGAGCATGTGTACCCAGATTTAAACTGATTGCACATGTATACAGAATATATTCTTATGGTAATTTAAATAATGCAGACACAAACAATACATTACACAATTTATTGCCAGGCATATTTCACATATTTATATAATGAAGCACAAAACTGAATAAATCCAACTGAAATGTGAATAGTTTCTTTTGATGCATCCTGGTTTGTCTAGTCGCTTGCACTCGCTGAAAGTGTACAGTAGTCATGTGACTTACCAGGGTAACTTAAAATTTACTATAAAATCCATCTGCTTACAAAGGAGGGGGTTGTTGATTTTAATTGTTAAAGCTACGGCCATTCTCAGGAGTTGCCTGTTCAATGAATGATAAATCACAGGGAAAGCACTGTCTTTGTCAATTACGTGTCCAGAATTAGGCAGATGCCATCCTATTGAAGAAGTGGGTTCTTTCCTCTTGACTGGTCTCGACGCCATTGAAAAATCACTGAACTGTGTAAGTTTGGGTACGTGCTAGGTAGGAGTGGTCTTGTACCTCACTACTGCAACAGACCTAATCTTATGGTCATATGTCCGATGTGCAACAAAGATGATCTTTAAATGAATAATGAACAGAATGGACTGCAAAAGGATTTGTTAGAATGCAAAATGCTTTGCCCCTTGCAGACTGAACATTGGCACACAGATAAGATTAACACAAAGTTCTATGGGGGTCTTGATGAGCTCTTAGTCACAACAAAATACATTCATAAAACTGGACTTCTTCTGTAGATATTTTAAAAACAAAATCAGTGAATGAGGAGGAGGATGAAAAGAAGAAGAAGTAAAAGAGGAAGTAGCAAAAAAAGGAAAATGACAAAAGAGGATGAATAGGAAAATACTGATGTTGAAATTAAAGAAGAAGAATTAGAAGAAGCTCTTGTTTTCTTCTTTGCATTCACTGGCCGTACACTCAGGTGGAAAGTTCTAGTTGTTTGTCGACTTTTAAGCTTTTGACTTATTCCAGAACGTGAGTTTTGTGTGTACATCTGTTTGTACAAATCTGGCTAATGTGTATGCAGACAGGTGGCTCCTCATCCCTCAGGCAGACGTACTCCAACTTAGATGAAACACCCTTAATTAATGGCCACCTACAAAATGCTTATTAGTGTGTCCTTCTATCTTTCTACTTCTTTCTATGAGTGCCGACAATGTCTTTTTATGTTTTATGTTTACTTGACAGATCAACATCATAGCACACGGGTGTAACCCATAAGTGCTCCCTTCTACTTCAAACTCAAGCCTAAGTCTGAAGAATCTCAGCGCAGTGCATGAACTCTGTTGCACCGACGAGGATCCTCAAATACTTGAGGTAGATTTTCAACTCCAAATTTTGGCCAAGGCAACGCGGTTAGGCTACTCTTTTCAATTTCCAACTGCCAAGGTTTTTTTTTACGGGCGCAAGAATACACACGGGCGTCCGGTCTTACTAACCAGAGATGAGAGGAAATTACTAGAAGTCCACGTGAAAAAATCCCAGCCTTCACGAGGCTTGAACCCAGGACCTCCAGCACTTGAGGCGGAACACCATTTCTCGAAACAACTCAGCGCCCTAATACACTATCTATTTGTTTATTTGTAATGTTTCTACGGCCTCAAGGGTTGCCTTTCTGTTTATTTATGTTATTGGGGGCAGTGGTTCTATCCCCCCTCCACCGCCCCCTCCCCCAGTGAGGCCCCAGAACTGACATGGGGTAGAAAAAGCAAATGATGTAGCAAATAAAAAGTCTAGTTACCTCCCTGCAGGGGCAGCACTAGTGGAATAGCTGCCCATGCAACGAGAGTCTCCTCCCCATACTGAGGCCCTGCTCCATCAGCTGGGTCTACATCATCTGTCTGGGCACTGAGCTGGCGCCTGAGATAGAAGCGCACTATCAGAAGCATGTCTCCTCCCATCTTCACATCCTGAAATGAAGCTTCTTGCTGGCCAAAGACATGGTAGTTAAACTTAAAGTTGGAGCGGACAGATGTTGTACTGCATGTAACAGGGCTGGTGGCTGACTGGACAATCTACAATAAAATACAAAACAGTGCTGAAAATGGGGAGGGATGAAGAGGTATATTTATTACACTATCTTTTCTGTCTGTCTCATCCCTATTCAACGCTTTTGTGTGTGCTGTACTAGTTATAATCCTTACGTCCTTTTTAGGACGAAATTTTTTGTTATTCGAAGCCCCACCCTGGCTTTTACCAGTGGCCGCAATATAGGCAGGCCATAAATATGGCCAATTGTCTGAACGCGGTTTCTGGGACCTCTCCACCGTGATCCTCATCCACATGGTGGCACATTGTGTCATCGAGTGTTAATCGCTGGTGGGGTAGAAGGTCAGTCAGTGTGTGCTGTTTTTGTCTCTCTTGTTATCAGCTATTCTCTTATATGCCTCAGCCATCGCAGTCTATTAGACTTCATGATGCCAGCAATTTGTGGTGGTTCAAAAAGATTAAGAATTTTGTTGCTGATTCTCAATCTCTGTTCTGTACTGTTTGCATCTTTGATAGGCCCAAAGGTACGTTGTAGGACCCTGTTCTCAAAAGTTTGTAATAAGGCTTCATTTATTTTAGTTGTACAGTAGGCTGCAGAGCCATATAGGGGTGTCTCTAAACGGCACTGAGAAATCTGCATTAAACAATAAATTCAACAAACACTCTTCGTGGGCAAAAAACTTACATTTTTTAACATTCCCTTACTTTAAGCACAATACACTATTGTCCATTCATTTGATCACTCATAAGTCAGCAAATGTTTACCTTTACCACATCATGGAGTAAACTGTTTTCTTAATGTATCATACAGGCTTTATCAGAGTGTCTCATCATCATTAAGTGCCATTCCAACTGGGGTAGGTGATAATACCTCTCCACATCTTGTGGTGTCATTTTACAGCACTATCAGTTTGTGTGTCAGCACTATCAGTTTGTGTGCCAGCACTATCAGTTTGAGTGTCAGCACTATCAGTTTGTGTGCCAGCACTATCAGTTTGTGTGCTGATACCCTTGCATGTCAAGACTAAAGGCTGTCAATAATCTTCTTTCAGTCTTCCTCTATCCCTCCTTCCAGTCGATTGAAATAACTTGTTCTAGATATCTCTTCAAATATAAAATGCCCAGTAGTTTAAGTAAACAGACTGAATTATCAAACATAGTTATTTGTTGTTATAAAGTATGGCGTGTGCTCTCCCCTGGGGTATGAGAGTGTATAGATGCCTGAGACACTGGGCTGCCCGGCAGGTTCCTAGACCCCACTGGGGTGGGTGGGTGGGTGATGGGGGCAAAAAACAAGCCCACTGTCTTATAACAAGCCATGTCATAAAAGGAAACCAATTAGATGTTTTCTAAGATTGTTTGTGCTAGGCCGAAAAGTTCAGATATTGCAGACGAGCTCATTATTCTGGGACTTAAATTTTGACTAAAAGAAAAGATATTTGCCCCCTACCAAGCATGTCATAAGAGATGACAAAGTAAGGTTTTGCTGAAATATGATGTGTTGGGTTGAAAGGCACAGATATTGCAGCTTAGCTGTAAACCACAACACAATGTGTTTAGGGTGGACACAGAAGAAGAAGAAGAAGAAGAAGTCATGAGTTTGTGTAGTCCTGATGAAAACATATTTGTTCTTACCTTCCCACTAGAATGATAGTATGCTGTAAGTCTGACTTTTCCCTCACCAAGCTCTGCGTGTTTCACCCGGTCGACTTGGAAGCCGATAATCGGGTCCGAAGTCGTACTCAAGGTCTGTGTCGGGGGCATGTTCATATTCCTTCGTAATAAATAAACATAGAAATTAATTATTGTAACACAAAACCAACTCGTTTTTACACTGATGTCATTATCTGGCCTCCCCCCTGTGTGGGTTCCGGGGCCCCATTGTGGGGAAAACAAGAATAGACCCACTGCCTCCCCAAAAGCATGTCGTAAGAGTCAACTAATTGAGGAGCTTCCTTTGAAGTCGGAGTGCATCTGCCGGAGAGGCAAGGAACCAACAGTCTGTATTCAAGAGAATGAGATCTGTAAAACTGATGCACACGCAACACTCAAGTTCTGGAGCAGGACTGCAGTTCAGTAGTAGACGAGCAACCAGAACTTTCCGCCAGAGTGTACAGCTGGTGAACGCGAAGAAGAAGAAGATTTTCTTGCCCATTTATACAAATGATCTGTATAGCATGGGAACCTCATTTTCAGATATTTCCATGATGAGTGTGTAGGATGGATAATGTAATAGTTTCGTTGTGGCTTCCAGACAGCACAAGGCTGGGTTATTTTCCATTCTCTTTTCTTCTTATAGTCCCTGCCGTGTGGTGGTGGTCCACACTACAAGACTGGGTTATTTCTCATTCTCTTTTCTTCTTATAGTCCCTGCTGTGTGGTGTTGGTGGTCATGTCTATCCACAACCTTCTGTCTCGCGTACTGTCAATAATTTCTGATACAGATTATCTTCCATGCCATGATGTCAAACTGTCCAGCATCTTTTCTGCCTCTGCTCCCCTCCAACTTTCCCACCATTACCATGTACTTCAGTGTTCTCCTTCAAGGACATGACCAAAGAATGTAGACTGTCTGCTTTTTATGTGGGCAATCAGTTGTCTTTGTGAATCGGTTTCTTTCAAGATATCTTCTTGCACTCTTTTTGTCTGTTCCAGGGTATTATCATCAATCACCTATAAAACCAAATCACTGATGCTTTCAAATGTTTAACTGTCCTTAACTTCCTTCTGTATATCAGAATAATGTCCTCTGAAAGTACTGGAGAGTTTGGGAAATGCCATTCTGGTCTCAAGACTCGCTGAAGGGAAAACCCCAACTGCACTTCCATGTGGTAGAGGGTGGTAAACACACTACGGTGTGGCCAATGTAGCTATGGGGACCGAGTATCCGCCGGGATAAGTGGACATTTCTGGGGTGCCCTCTGCTGTTAGCAGCAGCATCACAGAGCAGGGCACTCACTTGCCTTAGCAATCGAAAAGGTGGCTGATGGCTGGGGACGTAGTCTAAAACCAAGTGGATGTGTAAAGCAGGGGGAAACTACCACATTACTGTCAAGGACCTCGTATCTACACTACTTAACTACAGCTCATTGTACGGCCCTGTGACAGACCCACTAAACCAGAACACACTTAAAACACACACCTATTGAGTACACACATAATCTTTAATGCACAAAGAGACTTTAAACCTAAAGCAACCTCCACAGTTATGGACAGCCCCAAATCCGAAACGTCAGCAGTGGCAGCATTTATATTTTCTTATCCACCCCGAGCCATTCCTATGGATGTACCAGAGGACTCGATTCCACCTCCTGTCGTATAGCGCTAACTAGGCTGCGGTCCTCACCATGCGAGACTCAGTGGCACACGCAGGGTGAGTGGTTCAAGTATTAGCGGGCAGTGTCAACGCCAGCACAAAATGCAGCTAAACCCTAATAACCCATAGACAAGAACACCGACCCAAGCATGATACAACCCCAACACAACTGTCTTAGCATACTATAAGCACACAAGGAATACCAACAGCTAACCAACACATATGACGATAATGCTAACAGTCCCTATCAACTCCTAACACAATACAACCTATCACGTCTCTTTATGTCTTCAGCCTCCTACGTCCATGTCCAATGCTCTCTTATTTTATCCCTTGTTCAACTTCGGGTAAAACGTGTTAGTACCAGTGTTAAAGTTATAATGGGTTTCCCCATATCGTCAATTCAGCTGGCTGACCGCTGGTGCACTTTTTGGTCCGTCAAACACAAACATGAAGTTACAAGTGGTATTGTGTTTACTCTGTCCCATACCCTTTTTACAGGGCTATGACAATTACTATCCCAAGAAACTTATCATGGAAGCCAAAAATGAAAGAAATATCTTGGACAAAGAAGAGGAGAAAAACTGACATCTTGAAAGATCTGAACATCAAGGAAGATTGGCTAATAAACAGCATTCTGTCTCGGAAGCTAAAATATTTTGGTCATATCAGCGAGGGCCGACCAACACGAAGATGGGCACAGGATATAAGTGACTCCTTGAGTATGAAAGTACATGAGGCGGGAGAGCTGGCGAGAGACCTAGTTTTTTTCAGGCAGACCGTGATGAGAGCAACATTCTTTAAAGGACCTGCTACATGATGATGATGATATGAGGATAGTATTTATATAGCTCTTGAGAATTTTCTTTCTCGTCTCAAATGATAAAGAAAGATTGCATAGAATACTCTTAATTTTCCCGCAGCATTTGCTACCCAACCTTTAGCAATCTTTCAAGCTTCCAGGGTTAGTGAGTACCATTCTCTGTAGTACTCTGGCCATAATGCCCATGGCTTAAAAAGAACAGTAATGGAAGGCATAGTTGCTGGAAAGACAGACAGTGGTTGACCAGCATGAGGGTGGACCCAGGATCTTGGAGATCCTGGGCTCCCTTGCAGTTTCTGGGACTCCATGGGCAGGAGCCCACCCACTGCCCCTAAACAGGCATGTCACAAACATCAACTAATTAGGGTTTTTCTGAAACTGGATGTCCTAGGCCGACAGGTGCAGATATTGTAGCCTAGCAGTAAATTCCAACACATCCTTTTCAGGAGAAACATAGAGGTAAAAAGAAGAAGAAGAAGAAAGAAGAAGAAAGGGCTGTGGTCTTTGTTCCTAAAACAGTCAATCTTCTGGGTCATGTTTCTAAACAGCAGAATCCCAGTTGTACGATCTTTCTAAAACACAATTCACATCCTGTGATATACTTTGTTCTGTAACACTGTAAGTCCATATCCTTTTTTTGTTTTGTTTTTGTTCCACATTTCTGCTCTAGAAACAGCCAATAAAGATGTGTCATTTTATTTGTTTTAGTAAGCGATTCATGAAGTACAATCAAGCATAGCAAGTAACTGTCAACTATAATGTTTTTAGGGGAATAAATTATATTTACATTGCATTGGTACTAAACAATTTGTTTTAAATAATTTTTTGAAAAAGGTTATTCCATATGCATTTCATAATGAGAATATCACAATACACAACAATTTTATCCCAATAGCTAAACTAAACACAATACATTTTATATATACATTTAAAAAAAGTGACAAAAAAAATAATACAACTGATGAAAAGATGCAATAAAGATAAGAGCTCTTAAGCAATAAACTATATGAAAATGAAAAGGAAATGATAAAAGAACACGCATCTACCACAGCAATTTGTCTGCTAAAAAGAGTATAATTATGTTCTTGCAGCAACATATTGCGTGCTTAAATATCTTAAGGCTGCAACTCATTATTGGGAGCAGCATTAGCTAGATCTTGCCTGTTAGCCCAAAGGTCTAAGGTTAAATTCTGCATTCAGGTGGTTTATTATTCAAAACTGACAAAACTGACCTTGGCTCCCACATTGACCCATCTACGAAATGTTGACTACATCCTCAAATGGTCTAAGACTAAGGCATAAAGGGATTTTTTTTTTTTTTTTTTTTTTTTTTTTTTTTTGCTTCTTAAAAAAAAAAAGAATTTCAAATTTTAAAACAAAAATACAAACTGACCAGTAACTCCACATACTTATACCAATATTGCTAATAAATTAAACATTTGCTTTTTATATTCAACACATCTAACCTAAATAGTTACCTTTTCAGACAAATCAGAAGAACGCATGGAAGAATTAGTTATTATGATTGCTAATTAGTTCTAATACAATTCACTTTATTCTGTTTTCTGTTAAATTCCCACATTGCATTTATGTAATTATCTTTCAAAAACTACTTATAAAATTTAAACACTATATTTAACTGTTTATGTAATGTTAAATGCCTCATTTTGCATCGAGCAAGAAATTCTCACAACTGATATAATAAACTATTAATTGCTCAGCATGTGTATATTATTTATTCATACCTCACTTTATGGGAGTAATCCTTTGGAGAACCCGGTGGGGGTGTGGAAAGAAGGGGAGGAGTAATAGCCACCTGGGTAAGGACAACGCCACCCTGTAAAAAAAATATGAGGGAAAGAGATAAATATTACTGCCAAAAAAAAAAGATATTTAATAGTTTTAAAAAAATTGACAAAAACTTTAAGATCTCTTTTTTTATTTGCTATGTATCCTCCACAGGAGTGTTGGCTCTCAAAGAGGTGACACCCAGTCATTCTATCAATTTATATCTCCTGCAGCTCTCTTCCTTCTCACCTCCTGCCCCCAACCTCTTTATGAATGATTTCTCATATACTTCTCCATGTGTTGTATGTCTTGCTCTATTTCTTCTACCCTAAAGGTTCCGGTAAAGGGATTTTCTAGTTTTACTTCCATAAATGTCATAGTCCGATGACAGCTTTTATTGGATTGTTTATTCTATTTTAATTGTAAGACAAAACTAAAGAAAAATAACATGCACCGGGTGGGGGGGGGGGGGGGGGATGGGGGAAAAAAGGGTTGGGGGGGGGGGGGGGGGGGGTTATGGTGCTAGCCTTATATTTGTACTGATCAACTGGCATTCAATGGGTTTTGTGATCTTTAACATGTCGGCTGCCAATACTTTCCAGAACATTTCCTGATGCTCATTTTAGGATGGGTCAGCATGACAGGCCTACGCAATAACAAAAATAAAAAAACGCTTATTTGACGGGCATTTGAAAACATGACTGCCTGACTGACACAGGCAAACATGTTCACGCACATGCACATACACCAAGACTTTGTTTGTCATTTATATTTTTTCAAAAAAGTTTTGTATTATAGTTTTTTTTGGGTGTGAAAATCCTCTAAATAACTGTTATAATTTAAAAAATTATAATTGGAACATGTAGAATTGTTTTGGTAAGAATATTTCTTATTCTGCAAACCATTATGTTTTTTTTTTTCAAATAGTAGACCCTAATATTAGTTAACTTAAATTTTATTTTCATGTTAAAAAATTACAGATTAAGAGAAAAAGATTGCTTGTGACACAAAACATATAATACTGAAAAATTTTCTTTTAATCATGCTGGGATGTCTTAAATCAGAAACAGGAGTATTCTACAGCATGTTAATCTAATTTTAATGCATATTATACAGTAACACATCTAGTAACTGCTCATGATTGTATAATGACTTAAAATTTCTATTATAAAATCAAAACACTAAAATACATGTGATACAGCAGATCAGCAATTAAATTGAAGAGTGTGCAAAGCAAGTTCTTGAGTTTTTAAATATGTTCAATCTATGTCATAGAATAAGGTTTATTTCCAGTGAATTCATTTAATTTGTTTCATATCAAAGGTTTAAAATTTAAAACAACGAACCTAAAAAAACAAGTTTTGTGTGCAAATTAAATTAGATGAATTCAAAGAAAGATGAAGAAGTAACAGAAAAGTTTGGAAAACCAATGGTACCAACAGTCACAAGACAAAGAAGAAGCCACTATACTGGGCACTTCCTGGGAAGAACGAAATAGAGAATCGCCAAACAGGAATTTCAATGTAACTGATGGGTTGAAGAAATATAGACCTCCAAGAAAAACCCTAAAACAAATGTTGCTGAGAGAACCCCTGGTTCTGGCCTAGATTCCATCCATGATATCTAAAGGACTGCGCAGGACAGAAGAGAATGGAAGACTAGACTGCAAGCTCTATGACATATAATGGCCTGGGTTCCATCCATGATATCTAAAGGACTGAGCAGGACAAAGAGAATGGAAGACTAGACTGCGAGCTCTATGACATATAATGGCCTGGATTCCATCCATGATATCTAAAGGACTGCGCAGGACTAAGAGAATGGAAGACTAGACTGTGAGCTCTATGACATATAAAGGCCTGGGTTCCATCCATGAAATCTAAAGGACTGTGCAGGACAGAAGAGAATGGAAGACGAGACTGCGAGCTCTATGAAATATAATGGTCTGGATTCCATCCATGATATCTAAAGGACTGTGCAGGACAGAAGAGAATGGAAGACTAGACTGCGAGCTCTATGACATATAATGGCCTGGGTTCCATCCATGATATCTAAAGGACTGTGCAGGACAGAAGAGAATAGAAGACTAGACTGTGAGCTCTATGACATACAATGGCCTGGGTTCTATCCATGATATCTAAAGGACTGCGCAGGACAAAGAGAATGGAAGACTGGACTGCGAGCTCTATGACTTATAATGGCCTAGGTTCCATCCATGATATCTAAAGGACTGCGCAGGACAAAGAGAATGGAAGACTAGACTGCGAGCTCTATGACATATAATGGCCTGGGTTCCATCCATGATATCTAAAGGACTGTGCAGGACAGAAGAGAAGAGAAGACTAGACTGTGAGCTCTATGACATACAATGGCCTGGGTTCTATCCATGATATCTAAAGGACTGCGCAGGACAAAGAGAATGGAGGACTAGACTGCAAGCTCTATGACATATAATGGCCTGGGTTCCATCCATGAAATCTAAAGGACTGTGCAGGACAGAAGAGAATGGAAGACGGGACTGCGAGCTCTATGACATATAATGGCCTGGGTTCCATCCATGATATCTAAAGGACTGTGCAGGACAGAAGAGAATGGAGGACTGGACTGCCAGCTCTATGACATATAATGGCACGACACTATGATAATGATGATGATGTTGTGCATATTACTAAAGCAATGATTAATTATGTTATTTATATGCAACATTTTCTGTTTTAGTGTGCATACAATATTTTCTTTCGTGGTAAAAACCAGCATTTTTAAAATGAAAAATCCAGCTACAGAGAGGGGCTCTTTTTCAAGCAATCAGTTTTTAACCCTTTTGCGCTGAGAAGCCGAAAAACCGACACTTCTGGTTAAGTCCCATAAAAGTCACTTTTTCTATCTGCCTATCTGGATCTGCTTACAAGATGTATAGTTAATGGAATTGGCTGAGTTTGTTCCTGCGCAAACCTCTAGGAGGCCAGGATATGAACAGATTGACTAACAATAGCTTTTAGAGGCGTTACCCTTTATGCTGAAGGGCTTTTTTAAAGCCGAGATTTTCCCAACAACCTCAGTGGTAAAGGTCATGGGGTCAAGGAATGAATCACCCAATACATGTGTGTTTTTGAGGCCCCAAGGGAAATATTCAATTCGTACGTGCTTGTTGATTACTTCTTTCATATATCTTTATATATTTAAAAAAACAAAAATTCAAAATTTCGATAAATGAATATTAAACAAATTTATTAGTGACCTGTGTGAAAATCTTTGTTTTTATAGATTTTTTCAAGACAGGGTCATGACCTTATTTTTTTTTTTAGAGTTTTCGGGGCAAAAGGGTTGAACATATAATAGCAAATTAGAACTATGCTTCAAAATTACATTTAAAAAAAAATGTTAACAGAATAAACAACTGCTGAGAATTGAATAATTGATGGTACTTACCACTGGTGCCATCTGGTACATGTCTTGATTGACTGCAGCTATTGTGGCCATAGACTGACTGGGAGCATCCCGCATGTTCACGATGCGATAGTACAGCTCTGCCTGTCCATACTTGAATACAAATAGTTTTATATAAGCACCAATATTGCACTGAAATCTGTTTGCTTATTTTTTTTAATGCTAAATAAATCTTTTCCCTCCCCGTGTGGGTTACGGGGCCCCATTGGGGGTGGGGGGGGGGGGGGGGGGAATAGACCCTTCCCTGCTCCTTAACAAACACGTTGGGAAAGTCAAATAATTAGTGACATGTCCTTCAAAGTTGGGGTGCATCTGTGTGAGAGGCTAGGAATCAACTGTCTACATACTAATTAACCGAATCTGTAAAATGGATGCACATGCAAAATCCAAGTTCAAGAACAAGGTTGAAGTCCGAGTGTGGATGTACAACCAGAACTTTCCACCAGAGTTAACAAGAAGAATAAGAAGAAATTTTTCCACTCAACTAGGGAATTTATAAATGAAATGAGCTGCGAACATGTAAACTATACGGAAAATCAAATCTGGGTTCCATCTATGATATCTAAAAGACTGCGCAGGACTTAAAAAATTAATTGCCAATGAAAAAAAATGATGCAACAAGAATCTTTCATCAGTAAACAAGAAGAAACTCATCACAACACCACATGATAATTAGGACATGATAACAAGGTATATACATTAAAGTATATTTTCCTATTATACAAACACTCTAGGAGCATTTGAAAGCTGTGTTGGCGTGGGTTCAAATCCACATCAATTTGGATTTTTTTCAAAAATAATCTTGGCTTCAAGGTGATTCTAGCATTTGTGTTAAATGGCGTGCCATAGCCGTCTACACTTATCAGCATGGCACATAATGATGATGTCTCAGTGGCCCAAAGAATTTGAAAACACCAAGTTATTGAGTTTACTTTTTGTCACAACATACCCAATCAAATGTTTAACTGTCGACATTTAATTTATCAAATAAGTTTCCAGTTCTCATTATTAGTTTTGAGATCTATCAGCTCCTTATATTCATAAAATTGTTGATTGTCGACATTTAATATCTCTAATCAAACTTCACTTATTGTCCACCCTTTTAAGAATCTCTCACAAATGTTTCTTTAAGCCCATGATATTCACTGAGACAATCATGTCCACATTCTGCTACAAGGCAGAGATTTAGAAAAAGGGAAAATGTCGTAAACACCTGGATCTATACACCTAGTCAGGACGGTTTAAATGGTAATGAACAGCTGGCAAGCAATGCACCAATGCAAGCAGGAAGAAGCATGGGCAGAGCAAATGTGATCAACACTGTATGGACCGGGTTAGTGGATAATGACGAATCTCTGACACTAACAGGATTTTGTGAACATGGGAATAAGGTATAGTGAAGCACGGCTATGCCTCCTATGAGGCCAGGATAGGAGCATTATGACCAGCTCCAGGGAACAATCAGTGGTGGTACCTTGGAGTGGCTGCTGCATCAGAGGACTGAGCACACATGGGAATGCCCAATGTGCAGTGATGTCAATTGTGATAACGGAAATGAATAAACAAGTCAAGAATGGACATCTCTACACTCTGGACATTCCCATACACGCTCCGTCTTCTTCCTCAGTAACCAGATAGTTGTGGAACTACAGGCAGCAGGATCTGTGCCTCAGAGGACTTCCTCAGTAACTAACCAAGGGCTCCCACACTGAAATCACCCAGACCCCCTATGTTCAGGACCAGCTGAATCATTCTTTGTTCTGTTGCACTGTTTTCAAAATCACAGTCTTCATCACATCATTTTTTGGCTAACCTCCGAAAAAACGGGCGGTAAAGATGGCGGCCGCAAAATATCCTGAGGAGCCACAGTGACGAGAGTCTCCCCTGTGCCGCTACGAGCGGTGCGGATGGGGCTAAACTAGATGACTGGGACCCACGAGCAGCAGCTTCCGCATCTCCTGCAGCTTTGCTCTTGAGTCCTAGCCATCTAGTTTAGCCCCAGTGGGAGCCACTCTTGGCGGTGGCGGTAGTCGCCGGAAAAGCGCAAATTAAGTAGCCGGAAGTGAGCAAGTGACACGTGACTGAGGCCATTGGCCGGCATCTTTTGTGCTCATTATTCGGAGGATAGCCGGTTTGTGGATGGTACTAGAGAGAAAGCTGCATTACTAATCTGGTACGAGCCGAGCCTTATTCCGACCATACTTAGCTGAGTTTCAATGGCGTAACAGGCACAAACAGGAGATTTTCGGGCACTATTTACAACTTCTGTGCCATAAATTCCAGATAAAAAGGCATAAAATTATCGGTAAGTAGTCGATTTGACATAATTTTTTTTTGTGTTCCTTATTAGTTTTGACTTCAATTTTTGAATGTTTACAACACATGATACGTGACTGTGGCTTGTCAGGATATTTTGCGGCCGCCATCTTTACCGCCCGTTTTTCGGAGGATAGCCCATTTTTTATCAGAAAGTAGCTCACAGAGATGCAGAAGCAGCTAGTCTATCAGCCTGCTCATTGTCTAAAATACCTGAATATCCTGGGCAAACAAATCTGCAGTCTGCTTCTTAGCCACCCCAAGCCCCCAGATACCAGTTTCTATTTTCCAAAGCATGCTTTATGAGTCAATTATAATTACAACATGTCGGGCTGTACTACTTTCCAGCCTTCCGAAAGCTGCTTTTTTCCTGGGAAATCTCCATTATAACTGACTCAAAGAGCATGATGAGAAAGGTGGAGACGGGCATGCTACGGGCAGAGTGGCAAGCATCACTTCAGAGGTCCCGAGTAGTTAGTGTCCTTTGGATATTTTCTACAGGTTATGCTGGTGTGTTTGGGAAATGAGCAGGCAGATAGACTGGCAGGTTCTGCACCATTTGGTGGTGAATTGATGACAAGCTAGATGTTGTGAGGGCCCTTTGGTGGAAAGTGAACAGTGCAGAGACACAAATAGATCATTACGATCTGAGGAGAATGGCTCTGCAGGGAGTTACAAGAGGATCTGAGCGACACACATCATTCAAGAGGAGAAGGATATAGAATCAGACAGTTACTGGTACCATCGGAACTGTAACTCTTCGTTTGCCGCTTAAGATGGGGACAGAGTGCTTATGGGGGTGTCCCAGTGCTTATGGGGGTGTCCCTAGTGCTGTGATGTTGATTCACAATTCAACATTCAACATTGAGAATTTTACACAACTGGTCTTACCTGGGGGACTGAACTGAGCTCCTCCATAGGAATGTATGGTTTTATTGGGACAGCTCGAAGAGGCATTCTATGACGGCCTGCCATCAGCCTCTCTTGGCTGTCAAACAAAGGAATCTTAGTCCATGCCTTGGTGATCAGCCGAGACTGGTCATGTTCTGAGCCTGGCACAGATCCTGCTGCCTGTAGTTCCACAACTATACCCAGATCAGGTTGAGGTGGACACCTGGAAGACATTTATCAGAGTTTGACAAGTTTCTTTTACAAAAATTTACAAATTACTGAAGTATAGTTAAGTACAATGCAGCAAATTTTGTCTAGAAATGTAGGCATGAAAAAATTATTAAATTATACAAGTAAGTCACTTCAAAATTATTTAAATTGTTTTTCCTTAATAAAAAAAAAAAAATTAATTTATTGTGTAAATAATTTGTATTTGTAATAATAAGAATTAATTCACTGTGCCAATTATGTGTATTTGTTGTCATTTATTTAATGTGTCAAGTATCTGTAATAATTTGTTTGGTTTACAAACTATTCATATTTTACACTTGCCAGCTTGCTTTTGTGTTCTGGTATGTTCAATTTGTTGATCATGTGTCTCAACGTTTTCAGCATTCTTTTCCTCTATTGATGCTCTCCATAAATTAATTGCATTTTCCTTATGGTTTTGATGAAGGATTGATTTGAGTTGAGTTGAGCTGAGTCAAGAACTAATATCACAGCACTTGGGGCATTTTCATGCATGCACCGTCCTCATCTTTAGCAGCCAGCGCAGAGTTCCAAAGCTGATGGTGCCAGTCACAATCTGGTTGTATGTCCGTCCTGCTTTTCCTCAGAGTGTACTGAGCTGGCCAGACCCGTTGGTTACACTCAGATGCCTCATTCTCTCCAGACCATAATAATTTTCTATCTCTACTGATTGGGTTGCTTGTTCCCAAAGAGCCTTGACCTTGATGTCCTGGTGGGGTACAACTACCTACCTACCTTTGTACAGACTGAACTACTCAGTTTTTCACAAAATGTAAGTATATGTGTGGTCTCGAGGTCTCGAGGCATGGTGTCCGCCTCGAGTGCTAGAGGTTCCAGGTTCAATCCCTGGTAAAAGCTAGGATTTTTTTTTACCTGGACTTGGACTTCTAGTAATCCCCTCTGGTCTCTGGGTAGTGAGATCGGATGCCCGTGTGCATTGCTGCGCACGGAAAAAATCCCTTGTCAGTTGGAAATCGAAAAGAGTAGCCTAACGGTGCTGCCCCAGGAAAATTTGGAGTAAAAAATCTTCCCAAAGTATTTCAAGATCCTCACCGGTGCTACAGAGCCTGTGCACTGTGCTGAGCTTCTTCGGACTCAGACTTGAGTTAAAAGAAGAAGGGAGCACTAATGGGTTTCTACCCATGTGCCATGATGTTGATCCGTTGTTCAAACTTCAAACTTTATACTTCACAAAATGTAACACTGACCTTGGCACTGGTTGCCTGGCTCCTATGACAGCATTCACTGTACCGTGTGCAGACTGCCTGTCAGGTGGTTCTGTGTACACAAGTGGGAGGATTGTTGGTTCCCCAAGTTTGGCTTGACTATTGTGCAGCCCCACTATAAGTCGTATTGCGGCTATTCGAGGATCCAGATTGAGGACAAAGTCATAGAAAATGACAAATCCAGCACTAGAGAGAAGAAATAAGAAGAAATAATTTTAAGCAATTATCAACTGTTTCTTCTAAAATGGCTAACCAAAGATGATAATTTGTGGATTTGACAACCTGCCTAACAATCTTTGAAGAACCAAAATGCAGAATTTTTGGCTCTTAGTGATTTCACTGGGCATATTTTATGTTCAGTAGTTTGCCACTGCTTTCTAAATGATCAGCTCTCGATACCACTGTTAAAACCAACGCAAGGCGGTCTGCTGCCAACTTGTTAAATTTGATTAAACTTGCCAGCTCTGATTATGAAGCGTGTTCGCCATGCCTAAGACGCAGAAGCTGACCTAACAAACTAGCCACCATTTAATTTTAACTAATGTGCTAGCCATGGTCTAGCCATGAACCAAAGCCATGTTCTATGCTCAAGCTTCAACACTCCTTGTGTGGGATCCAGGGACCCATTTTAGCGGTGGAGGGGGGAAGTGTGGTATAGACCCACTGCCCCCCCCCCCACCCCAAAAAAATGCACAAAATAAAGAGCAGTAAATTAGGAGACGTTTTCTTTCAAAGTTAGAGTGCATCTGCCTGAGAGGCAAAGAACCAACAATCTGCACAGAAATAAGTTAGATCTGTAAAATGGCTGTGAACATAAAACTCAGGTTCTGGAACAAGACCAATGTCCAGAAGTGGACAAACAACCAGAATTGTCGGCCAGAGTTTACAGCTGGTGACCTCCAAGAAGAAGAAGGAACTTCAGCAGTTCCATATTTTTGCAGGGGTAGGTGGGTGATGAGGGGAGGGAATGTCCTTCATCTGTGAATCTAAGTTTACCACTTTTTAAACTCTTAAATGGACAGGAGATCAAGACCTGAATTCAATTTCCATGGCTTTCAGACAATAGTTGCTTTGTTTTATTCCCTTTGTAGTGGTGCCTAACATTAATGTACAAGTAATTATGAGGAAAACAGTGTCAATCAGTGCCACATGAACTGTAATTGTATGTGACAAGTGTAAATAATAAACCATTTCTTCTCTGAACATGGGAGACTACTCTCATATTTTAGAGTCACACCCTTGCTGTTGACCACATTTATGTAAGTGGACAATTAAAGGTCAAGTTTTTTAAAGTTTCCTCTGAAAGAAACAGCCATTTGCCTCACTAGGGTTTCAAACTGTCTCCTGACAGGATCTCAATCATTTAGCCACCAGCCAATCATTGATTGTGTTTTCTTTTTTCTTTGTTCTCTTCTTTCTCCCTTTTGTCATCTTACAGAAGCTTGAAAAGCTCTCTGCTGAAAACAGTTCATTTTCAGTTTTTATTATTTCTGTAGATGTCATGCCGATGCACAAAATTTAGTAACCTGAATCTAACATACCATCAGTCTTCTTCTATTTTGGTCTTTTGTCATTCACATATATGTACTGATTATATAATAAATTATATGATTTAAAAAAAAAAAATATCCAATTCATATCTAAACCAATACCAGATCATTTCGTAAGAGTCGACTAATTGGGAGCTTCCTTCGAAGTCGGAGTGCATCTGCCTGAGAGGCAAGGAACCAACAGTCTGCACACAGATCTGTCAAACAGATGCACCCAAAACACTCAGGTTCTGGAACAGGACTACAGTCCAGAAGTGGACAAACAACCTGAACTTTTCGCCGGAGTTTACAGCCGGTGAATGAGAAGAAGAAGATTTTAATTGAAGAACTGCAAACATGTGACAAACAACTCAATCAGAAAAAGGCAAAACAGCCACAAATTGAGGACTAGCCATTGTTCAAAACTAATGCAGAATATTTGATAAATTTATCGAAAGGATTGCACAGAATAGAACAGAATGAAGTAATAGACTGCCAGTCCTATGTGACATATAATGGCACAACAGACAATGATGGTTAGGTTAGTTGTGTATCTTTTACAGGACATTGCAGAACCAACCCCCCAACAGCCCCTGGCATCCAGTAGTTTGCCACTGCTTTCTGGACAGTCGGCTTTCTTGATACCACTGTCGAAACCAACGCAAGGAGCATGGCCCCCAGCTGGGATCGAACCTGGTACCCCCGCATTACGAAGCGTTGGCATCGACTTAGCCACAGAGCTGACAGACAATGATGATGATCTGATTATCTTCTACAGGACAGATTCAAGAGATTCATAGAGAACAGTAAAACAGGCAACCTTGACTAAGTCTTAAAAAAACAAAGTACCCCCCCTCCTCCCCATGCAACATTCTGACTTTTTCAGCATCAAGCAAATCGTATGTTTACTTATTATGCTATAAATGGCATACATTGCTTAACATCTTGTTGCTCCTAACTTCTGTTATAGAATAGTAACCCACTCTATTCCAACTGTTACTTTAATTCTTTCTGTCTTAAAACTTCCATTATTTTAACTCATTTAGATTCAGCGTTTCTTGGTCTAAAGTGTATATTTATATTGTTCAGGATGGAAAATGTTGCAATAACAACTGTCTGGGACTCAAAAAACTAACAAACAATTATTTAAAAAAAATTAAAAATAATGTTATTTTCAAAGGAATAAAAACAAAGCTCACAGACCTGTCCAGTATTTTGCCCCTGTGACCTAACTTCTTTCATACATTATTTCATTAATAAATCTTTCAACAGGTCATTTTACACAAGAATAGCAAAATTAATTACAAATACTGTTGACTTTTAATGAGTCAGTATTACTACTGAATCAAACCAAGACAATTCGCTCTGTATTAAAAACAATAACTGTTCAACGAAATAATAAAATGCACAGAAAAGGCAAAACATTGAAGTCAACAAAATAAAACAAACATGTTCAGAGAAACTTAAAATGTTTATTTAAAACAAATTTTTAAATTTTTGTAATACAGATAATATGTTCAGGAAATCACAATACCCATATTTATAAAAAGTTATTAATTTGTGAAAATGTGATCATATATTTTAAAAATCTAGTCTTTTGATAATGATATGCAAAATGTTAATTCCCTTAATTTTCCCTTGTGGGTTCTTGGGACCCACTGACGGGAAAACCAGAACAGACCCACTGCCTCGCCAACAAACATGTCATCAGAGGCAAGGAACCATCAGTCTGCAAACAAAAAAGCTAAATCTGTAAAACAGATGTGCACACAACACTCAGGATCTAGAAAAAGACTAATGTCCGGAGTTGGACGAACAACCAGAACTTTCTGCCGGTGAAACAGTCGTCTCCTGAATGCAGCATGGCTTTACAATATTGCAGGTTCTTGGCAAAATATGTATTTTACTATCTATATTCTAAAAATAAATGGACTGGCACCATATTCCAAAAATGCAATAGTGTCAAGCAATGGGATGTTACGGAAAAAAGTCTTTACTGCCCGAATTTATTACTGCTCAAGGCAGTGTAGGATAATACTTGCAAACATATATATGTATGTATATGAATACACACACACTGTGGCACTGTAAACCAGTGTTTCTCAACCTTTTACAGCCGTGGCCCACAAAACAGTATAAATTGTTTTGGTCTTGAGCAAAATGTTTACATTTATTTTCAATTATTTTTTCATTTGAACTGCAAAAATGAGTTTCAAAAAAAAAAAAAAAAAAAAAGATGTTTTATTAGAATTGAATAAAAAAATAAAAAAATAGTATTTACACTAAATTAAACCAGTAAGAAATGAGGGATTGTACAAAGTTCATGCACTGAGAAAAATTAAAATTTGCAAATTTTACATAATAAAAATAATAAAAATTATTAACTGGAGTAGTTAAAATGTACTAATAGCTTTTAATTTATTTTTTAAAATAAATTTCATTGAGCATAACAGATGGTTATTAATAAAAAAGATGTTTAGTAAAAAATAACTGTCCAATTTTATGAATAAAGATTTGGGACTATCTTACTTACAAGGTAGTCCTACTTGATGGTTTGATCAAAATATGTTAATAAACCTGATATACTAAAAAAAAAAAACACGTGCAAAATAGTTTTTTTTTTTAAATTCTTTACTGCAGGGCTATTTAACAAAGTTTATTCAGGGTAAACAGTGCTGAAATGGGGATCATCATGGATCAGAGGCCAGAGCCCCAGCGTGGAAAGATCATTAATACAGTAAAACTGGCAATGATCTGCGGGCCACTTGGTAGGCTTCCAAGGCCAGGTTTGGCCTGCGGGCTGACAGTTGAATAGCCCTGCTGTATTTCCTCAGTTTTTTATCATTAGGATGATATATTTATTTTCTTGTCAAACATTATACAAAAATAATTTTTTTTTAAGGAGAATGCACAGATAAAAAACTTTTCACAAGACATGTTTTATAATCAAAATTCAGTTTTTATAAAAGAAGTACATTTCAATAGTTAAGTTATTGGAAGCATGTATGACTGGCTAAAACATGAGCAATATCATCCCTGAAATTGTGGATCCAATGCACTCAGTCACACACACGTTTCAAAACAAACTTTAACACCTTAATCTTCTTCTTCTTCTTTGCGTTCACCAGCTGTAAACTCCAGCAGAAAGTTTTGGTTGTTCGTCCACTTCTGGACTGCAGTCCTGTTCCAGAACCTGAGTGGTGCGTGTGCATTCGTTTGACAGATACAATTAATTTGTATGCAGACTGTTGGTTCCTTGCCTCTCAAGCAGATGCACTCCGACTTTGAAGGAAGCTCCCAATTAGTCGGCTCTTATGATATGCTTTTGGGTAGTCAGTAGGTCTACTCTTGTTTTCCCTATAAAAGGGCCCCGAAACCCACACGGGGAAACACCTTAATATTTGGAGGTATAATATGTGATACCTATATTTTAACAACAGATTCATTTATCTCCAAATGCCAACAGTGTGAGCCAGTCATAAAGAAAGACAAAAGCTGAGAAACCTATTGCAGGTGAAATTAAATGCTTGAGAGAAGCTGCAGGTTTTAGTAAAAGAGACAGAAGTAGAAATGAATGCAGTAGAAATACTTCTTCTTCTGTGTTCGCCCTGAAATCAGTGGCTGGCACATTGTGTTGTGGTTTACAGCTAGGCAGCA